GTTGGGATAAAATTAATATGATCTGGGAAGGAGATCATATTATTTTCTTTTATGTAGACTTGTAATTATTTCTTATAAAAGAAAATAATTGGGGCCAGGGAGATGGCTCAGTAGAATAAGAGCTTGCCTGACAAGCTCAAGGGCCTGAGTTCAATCCCCGGAAAAAAAAAAAAAAAAGAATCTGATTTAGTAGTGAGGCCCTGAACATCCTATAGACCCTTCCCAAAACACAAACAAAAAACCAAAACAACTTTATACGCTGATCATCAAAGGAAGAATGGACAAGAAAGATGCATGGTATTGTTTCTCTAGTGAGAAACTAGAAAACATACATACGTTTACACACACGTGCGCGCGCACACGCACACACAAACAATAGATAACAATGAGGGATGGGGAGCTAGCTCAGTAGAATAAGCGCTTGCCTGGCAAGCACAAGGGCCTGAGTTCAATCCCTGGTTCCGTTAAAAAAAAAAAAAAAAAGATAACAGTTACACTACTAATACTCTCTGTTCATTGAAAAAGTTTGTGTTAATATTCTATGGACAATTAAATGCCAGATTATATCTTACACTTTGAGTAATTTAAAGATAACAATACACAATGTATTAACCATTGTTACCCTATGTCATATTGAAATCTTTTTCCTCTTTTACTGCTGAGCTACATCCCCACCCTAAACAAAGCCAGGGTCTGCACTTTTTTTTTTCTTTTTGGTACTGGGATCGAACTCAGGACCTTGTGTTTCTCAGGCGGGCACTTACGCTCTTTTTTCCTCTTTTAAGACAAAAAAAAAAAAAAAAAAATTATATGAGAGGTATGACTCATACACCAGTAAAACAAGTTCAGGGAAACAAAGGGACTTACTTGTACAAGGCCACAATTTTTTTTTTTTTTTTTTTTTGTATTTAGGACAGGGTACAGGGTGTACAGGGTCTCACTACAGAGACTGGACTCGTAGTAATCCTCCTGTTTACAGCCTCCCAAGTGCAGGGATTACAGGTGGGCACCACTACGCCCAGTCTCAATCCCTGTCACAGTGTGCCCCTGGGGGGAGGCTGGCACAGCAGGCCCAGGGATCCAACTCCTGGCCCCTGTGTCTGCCTAAGCAGGTGCTTTAATCCACTGAGCTATTTGGCTGGCCCCAAGATCACAAATCTTTTTTTTTTTTTTTTTCAGAACTGGGCATTGAACTCAGGCCCTTGCCCTTGCCAGGAAAGCGCTTATTCTACTGTGCCATCTCCCTGAGCCCAAGATCACAAATCTTGTAAGTGGAGCCAGGGATTCCAAGAGTGCCAGTTCTATTCTACATCTTCATTGTCTGGACCTATACACTATTGATTCAAAACACCAATAAGGCTACCTCTGTAAGGTTTAAAATAATCATGGGTGTGGGGCTGGGGAGATAGCTCAGTAGAATAAGTGCTTGCCTGGCAAGCCCAAAGTCCTGAGTTCAATCCCCAGTACCACAAAAATTAAATGAATACTCATCTCTGTACCTTTTGAAAAGCTAAAGTTTCTTTTGATTGTTTGAATAATACCTGATCAAGAATGAAGTTTCTCTTTGTCCGAGAAGCAATCTGGACCAGTTTACTAAGGCACTGGGAGGCTTGCTGAACTAAAAGGTCACGACTTTTGGGGTCCATCTCTGGCTCCTCGAGCCCCTTCATCTGTGAATGGAGAGAAAAGGCACATATGCAGTTGGCAGCAAGTTCAAGCAAGAGACTGCTGCCACTCTAAACACCATACTGTCACCTTCATTCACCTTCTGGCTCAGGGCTGCGACACTATTCCTTGCAGTATCATTTCCAGTCAACCAGGATAGATCCCAGATTTTGTCACTTTTCAAAAATTTTACAATACACAGGGCCAGGGGGGATAGCTCAATAGAATAAGTGCTTGCCTGGCAAGCACAAGGGCCTGAGTTTAATCCCCGGTTCCATCAAAAAAATACAGCAGAAAAAAAAAAAAAAAGAAAATCCACCTAAACACATACAGAAAACAGCTCCCTTCTCATATTTGTGGGCCCTTCCTCCCCAGACACTCAAGATTATTCTCAGTGGAACACAGCTGAAGATACCTTGGTCCCCCAAGCAAGCACCCCTCTGGGATCTCCCTTCACTTACTCTCATCTGACTGAGCACAGTCTCAGCTCCCAGGACGTTGTATCTTTTCTCAGGGTTTTCTTTTGCGTATTTCAATGCCCACTGGGTCTTTCCAGATCCAGGCAGTCCCACCATCAGAATCACCTACAAGTAAACACAGTCACCAATACACTGAGAGTAAGTGAGGATCAATTTCTAAGATCCCATTTAAGCCAGGTATGGAGGGAATGCCTACAAACCCAACTACCAGAAAGGCCTAGATAACACAGTGAGATCCCGCCTCAAAGACACAACCCCCAAACCACGAGGAGCAGCTGAGGAAGAATACCCACCCCCACCCCCCGCCCAGCCTTGTTTGTAGTGCTTTGAGGAAAGACCGGGGAACTTACCCACCCACCATCCCAAAGCAGGAACCCCAAGCTGGCGCACCTCACACTCCTCTCCGGTCTTCGGTGGGACCACAGTGCGCACGCGCTCCTCGACAGGCACAGCATGGATGAACACAAACTCTTCGGGGGGCGGGAAGAAGGGCTCCTCCTTCTGACCAAAGTTTAATTCTACAACACAATTTTTGCAGAGGACATGGGGCAGGAGGGCGCGGTCTGCCAGGGAGTCCTTGCTGATCCGGAATGCCACACCTAGATCGTCTCCATTCTTGGAGAAGGACAGTTCTATTTCTTCAGTCTCAAAGTTCTATAGGGACAAAGGACAAGAGCACTTAGGGCTGGAGGGGCTGAAGGCTGGTCAGTTTCATCCTTTTTGAAACATACTGCTGTGCAGGGGACGGGGAGATAGCTTGGTGGAATAAGTGCTTCCCTGGCAAGCGCAAGGCCGTGAGTTCAATCCCCAGTTCCGCAAAAAAAAAAAAAAAAAAAGAAACATACTGCTGTGCAGCACAACAAAGCCAGCTTGCACCACTTCACACACACAACAGCACTGTTGGCACAGACATGGGGGCCTTCCCACCACAACCCACCATGCAGATACACTCACAGCAAAGCAGCCAATGACATCATTCTCCCCAAAAGCCTGGCCAAACTCTTCAAACTGGCTGTTCTCTGCCTTGAGTCCACGTCCATCAAAGCCATAAGAGAGCTCATCTTCACCTACAAGAGCCAATAATCAGTTACCCACGCCCAGGCTCTCCAAAGGGCAGATCAAATGCACGTGAAGAAGTTATAAAGTAACTTTACCCAGCTGAGGATGGGAAAAATCAACAGACCACCCAACTCGGAAAAGAGACACCTCTGTGCAGCCTTCTTTCATTGGAAGATTCTGGGTTACCTGGCCAAATCAGAAAGGAACTCAGGTTGTCTGACCACTCAGGAAGAGAGATGAGAAAGACGACAATTTTACATATGCTAAAACTGATCCTTCGGTTCATGAGCATGATGATTGGGTGTTCATGCCTTATGCATGAGATGTGCCTCCCTCAAACCTTGTTATGACGTGGGCACATTACCCATCTGATGTGAAAATAAATAAATAAATAAAATAAAACTGACGGCTATCACACTGAAACATCAGAATAGCAAATGTCACTCAACCTAACCAAAGGTGAGAGTAGTACTAAAGTTATTACTAAAACAGAGTGACTATTCCTCTACTAGCAAAGTACTGATGGACAGGAGTCCAACATACAGATACTTCAGAGACAAATTAACAAATGAGTGGCTGTTCTGAGCTACTACCTTGGCCTCGAAGCAGACTTTTCCCTTTGTTACTCCATATGTGCTCCTTGCCCCAGACCAGAGGGTGGGGAACTTCTCTGACAAGAGTGGCTGCCCTCCGTATCGGTCTTTGCTCACTTGGAAGTGAAGATCCGAGGTGTCTGTAAGAAACATGGGGATGGCTGAGCGCAAGGTCTAGCACCCCAGAGCAACTCACACAGCACAAGTACATCCAATGTCAAGAATGAGAGCCAAGCATGAGGACATGCAAGCTGGAAGTTCTAATCCCCAAAATCGGTTTTAGGAGACAGTTAAAACCCCCAACCTTGTTGCCTTATACATACACGTGTCCAGGTTCACAAGAGTATGATCTTCCTCTTCCTCCTTTGCCTCTTCCTCAGGAGGTGGTGGAGACTTGGAGCTACACAGAGAACAGTAAATCCATGTAGCCATAGCGCTCATCAAGCACTATCTGCAGGACACTAGGTCCACTTTAAGCTACCAATAAATACCAAATCACAGCAGATAGCTCCTTTCAGCAAAGCTGTGTCTAACCTACCCTTCCCTCCAGACACTCATCAGCATGCTGTACAGCAGAACCAGAGGCACCACTACTGCAGGGAAGACCCATGACCTCACCGGCTGTGGTGAGCCTCCTCTCGAAACTCGTAGTATGCACGGCCATGCTCATCCTTCTCATCCCGCTGCCTCTTCACCCCTCGACGCTCACCGTCCGAGCCTGCGGGCTTTGACTGCTCACTGTCTTGGTCATCCCCTACAAAACCAGGGAGATAATCAGCAGTTTTTCTACACAGTGTGGAACAAATTCAGAACCAATAGAAACTACATGTAGAACTGAGTACACCAATCATAATAGATTATTCCCTCAATACTCATAACATACTTTATTTCCAAACTTTACTTTCCTGTCATTGGCTAAAATTTTACGGGGGCGGGGGGGGGAGTGCCTCATTCAGCAGTTGATAAAACTGGATAATTTAGCTAGGCTTGGTGGTACACTCTGCCATACCAGCACTGGGGAGGTAGAGGCGGAGGATTGCCATGCTTTTGAAGCCAAACTGGGCTACATAGTGAGTTCAAGTCCAGCACGCACTACATAGCAAGAACCTACCTCAAAGAAAAGTTTTTTTAATTCTAAACTTATCTACTTAATCAGGTCAAACTTGTAGATTTCCCCATTACTATGACATAAAGGGTCTCTAAAAACATCTTCAGGGTTAATTTCACCCATTAGATTTGAATTCAAAGTAGGCACTTAACACACATTTTCTAACAGTTTTCCATAGGGTCCTAACATAGAAGCCTCAAATTCTCTTCCAGTTTGCCTTTTTTACATTAAAATATACAACCACCTATGGCTTTACTTACATAGTGAATGAGCTCATGTGCATGATATACACCTGTATTTTAATGAGATTTACGGAAAATTGCAAGACCAAACAAGTTACGACAAACCAAAAAAAAAAAAAAAAAAAAAAAGAAAAGCCAGAAGAAACCCATAAATAAAATAACACTGCATCTTACTGCATATAATTTAGGACAGAAAGGCGTACACATCGAATAGCTTATTTTTGGTGGCAATAACAGGACTGGAATCACCACTGAGCTCCACTTCCAGCCCATTTTTGGCTGGTCTGGAACTTGCAATCCTCCTGCTTCAGCATTTCAACAAGATGGGATGGGATATACAGGTGTGTACCATGGAATCAGGCATGCAACGTTTTTTACAGAAGGAAAAAGTTTTCCCTCAAGCTTCAATATTTTTCAACAGTAGAATGCTTTTAATAACTATCTTTAAAGCAGTCCTTTATCTTTAAGTGTTTTTTAGCTGACATTTTGGATACACATGAATAGTTATGTAATGGAACTTTTGTTCTAGGACTTCAGACGAAAAAATCTACAAGTTGCATGTGATTGCTATAAAACTGGAACTTACACCAAGATACTCGGTAGCACCCTGGAATAGACTACAGAAAGAACGTGGGCAACTCACTCTGCAGTAACGCTTGGAGGTAACGCTAGGTTCCCTTTCTACTCTGACGGATACAGGTCAGTCATATCAGCTTCAACTACCCCACTACCAAAACAAAGAAAAAATGTCACCGAGGCCCCGGGCATGGCTGCACCACCTCTTCCAAAAGATCCTCGGTGGGCTCAGAGGAACCTCGACCTTTTCAACTCAAGAAATGGGGCCCCTGACAGATAAGAAACGCAGGCCAGCCCAAGTACACAGTAAATCTATAGTGTGCTCACGCGGCGCCTCAGCGAAAAGATCAACACTTAATCACAGGACGCGGGAGACGTAGCTAAGGTGTACCAGAAACCCAGGGGACTGCTTTCTCTTCCCGGGTTAACCATTAAGCCCAAAGCTCCGGAGGCGAGAGCACGGCGAGCAGTTTGCTCAACGCTCAATGACTTGATGGTGCAAGCTAGAGCCCCGAGCCTGTCACCCGCCAGTCCCTCTGCAGCCACTAAGCTGGGTAAGAGACTCGGGCACGGGCGAGGCCGCTCCACAGGTGGCTCTCGCCGGGCGTGCACCGCCTCTCCGCGACAGCGGGGCAGAGAACAGGGTTAGGATCGGGGCAAGGGACCCAGGATGCGGACGCCGAGCTTGCCCTCCCCCGCCCACCTGGCTCCTCCGCCGGGCCGCCACCCGCCGCCTCGTCTCCGCTCCGCTCCTCGTCCCCGCAGTCACCGCCGTCTTCGCCCCGACCCGGGTCCGGCTCCTCGCCGCCGTTCACGCCGCCCGGCCCGGC